TCAGTAACCGCAGTTAGTGTTGAAGCAGCCATGTCAGGGAGACGCTGTGTGTTTCTAGGCAAAATCAACAAATAACTGTCTATAAAAACGTGCATAACGTCTAAATTAACATATATAAATCAAATATAATTTTGTAAACCGCATAAACAATTATGAACAAAACGGCATCATGTGTTTATGCATTGCTTAGCCTAATACAAAGAGCCAAATCGCCGATCACACAGATTGCATTTAAAAACATACAAGACGCAGTGAAATGAAATAAACCTTCACAAATTCCCATCGTGTTTTCTAAACGTTAAAACTGTTTAAACTTTGCATGACTTTCTTTGAATCTCTTGCATGAGACGCGAGTGCAGCAGTCATATTTGTCTGTGTAAAAACGTGCTGAATATGAGTTCTGTGTGAATGGCTTGGTTTCGGTGTTAACCTAATCAAGATCTTCTACGCATTGAGCTACTATATTTCACAAATATTTTGAACGAATAACACAGCAGCAGCGCGTCTCATGGGCTAGACTAACAAAACACTCCCTGACGCACTCCTAACATTCGATTGTACCATTTTTGCATTCAAATGCAAATGTTTATTTTAAATTCGACTAATCATTTTTAAAAAAAATTTTTTTTATTCACAATCTCTTCATCACAGGCAGGCACAGCACTCAATTCAGCATGTGTTCGTGTTTGTGTGAGCTGTCTGCGTCAGTCATAGCACGTGCCTATATCATGCGCTATATCGAACATTTTCTTTATCGTTATCGATGGTGTACCGTCGATAAATATCGATACCGTTTTATCGCCCAGGTCTAGGAAACAGTCTTCCATAAAATGCGTCACACACGACGGGCTTGAGTGAGTGGAGGCCGGCGGCCTTGAGAACGGCACGGGCGTGCGGCAACCACATGTGACGACCGTGGGTTGGACTCCGCTTCGTCCACGGTGAAAGCCGATCCGGTGATCCAGAGTGCGAAGTTGATGTATTTACTCTGCGACCAGCACGGATCAGCTCAAGGCATGACGAAGCGGATATCGTCTCTTTTGGAAGGCCAAACAAAGTAATTTCGGTTTCACAACTAAACGCGCAGCATCTCCACAACATGGCGCCGGCGGCAACAACAATACAAAAATAAAAGTTACGCCTTTCTTTGCGTGAACATTTGGGCGGCGTTATGCAAATCTTCCCA